ATAATTTTATGGTGGGCTTAACATAAGACTGAAGAACTCCAGACTCTGAATGTTTTTGCTATATTACATTAACTCATTCTAGCAGATTTTTATATGTAACATGTAGATCCCATGATAGTTACGATAACGATGACAATGGACAATTACTTGGGTTAAACGTCTGTTCTAAGAGAAATTCCTTATGAGTGTAACTATGTAGATCACATTATCTCTTCATACTTAATGTACAGTGAAGGCAGTCTCGTATGTGACCATTAAATCATAACTATTACTTCTTGGAAATCTAACCAATCAAGAAAGAGTTTTCATTTACTATTTAATACACGAGGATGACACGCAAAATCGTGAAGCGTTCCATATTTTTAACTCCGCCTGTAGCTCCTCCAGGGGCTACTGCCGGTCCCAAGCCCGGGTAAAGGAGGAGGGTTGGGCATGGGGTTAGCGACCCCATCCCGTAGAAAATCAACTCGCTAAAAAAACGCTAACCAGAAAAAATCATTCAAACCATTCAAACTCTGCCCTGGGAGTAGAAGGAAAAATGACGTCTCATGATGAAAGCCGAGTTCATTCGGAAGTCATGAGGCCGATGCACCTTCTTACAACCAGAGCGACAATTTTTATAGGTACATGGAATGTCCGGACAATGTGGGAGACCGGCAGAGTCTTCCAAATTTCTGCGGAAATGAGGAAATACAACCTGGAAGTGCTTGGAATCAGTGAAACACATTGGACGCAGGTTGGACAACAACGACTGTCTTCAGGGGAACTTCTGTTATACTCCGGTCATGAAGAAGAAAATGCCCCACATACACAAGGAGTTGCATTGATGCTGTCTAGAAAAGCACAAAATGCACTTATAGGATGGGAATCTCATGGACCGAGGATCATCAAAGCCTCCTTCAGAACAAAGAGAGAGGGCATTACAATGAACATCATCCAATGCTATGCGCCGACCAACGACTACGATGAAGACGCTAAAAACCAATTCTATGATAGGCTGCAGTCAATCTTCGAGAAGTGCCCAACCAAGGACCTGACCATTCTAATGGGAGATTTCAATGCCAAGGTTGGAATGCATAACATTGGATACGAAGACGTCATGGGACAACATGGACTGGGAGGAAGGAACGAAAACGGTGAGAGATTTGCAAACCTATGTGCCTTCAATAAACTGGTCATAGGTGGCACCATATTCCCACACAAAAACATACACAAAGCCACTTGGATTTCACCGGATCACACTACACAGAATCAAATCGACCATGTCTGCATCAACAAAAAGTTCAGGAGGACGATGGAGGATTTGAGAACCAGAAGAGGAGCTGATATAGCATCCGATCACCATTTGCTGGTCGCCAAGATGAAACTAAAACTCAAGAAGCACTGGACAATGGTGCGGACAACATCACAAAAGTTTAACACGGCCTTTCTTCGAGATGCTGACAAACTCAACGAATTTAACATAGCCCTCAGCAACAGGTTCGAGGCCTTTCATGACCTACTCAATGGAGAGGGAACCAGCATAGAGAGCAGCTGGAAAGGTATCAAAGAGGCAATCGTTTCAACATGTCAAGACGTTCTGGGCCAAAAGAAGCACCATCACAAGGAATGGATCACTGTTGGTACACTGGATAAAATTGAAGCAAGGAGGAACAAGAAGGTAGCAATCAATATCAGCCGAACAAGAGCAGAAAAAGCCAAGGCACAAGCCGAATACACAGAGGCAAACAAGCAAGTGAAGAGGAGCATCAGGACCGACAAACGTAAATATGTGGAAGATTTAGCGATGACAGCGGAAAAGGCTGCAAGAGAGGGAAACATGAGACAACTGTATGATACAACAAAGAAACTTGCTGGAAATTACCGTCAACCAGAAAGACCAGTGAAAAACAAGGAAGGCAAAGTAATCAACGATATTGAAGAACAACGAAACAGGTGGGTAGAACACTTCAAGGAACTCTTGAATCGACCAGCTCCACTGAACCCACTCAACATCGAAGCAGCACCCACGGACCTCCCAATCGACATTGGCCCACCAACAATTGAAGAGATCAGCATGGCCATTAGACAAATCAAGAGTGGCAAAGCAGCGGGACCAGACAACATCCCGGCAGAGGCACTGAAAGCAAATGTAACAGCAACTGCCAAGATACTACACATCCTCTTCAGTAAGATTTGGGACGAAGAACATGTACAAACAGACTGGAAAGAAGGACTTCTCATCAAGATACCAAAGAAAGGCGATATGAGCAAGTGCGACAACTACAGGGGCATCACTCTCCTCTCAATACCAGGAAAAGTCTTCAACAGAGTATTGTTAAACAGGATAAAGGATTCCGTGGACGCTCAACTTCGAGATCAACAAGCTGGATTTCGTAAGGATAGATCGTGCACAGATCAAATTGCAACTCTACGTATCATTGTGGAACAATCAATCGAATGGAATTCATCACTTTACATCAACTTCATCGACTACGAGAAGGCATTTGATAGTGTGGACAGGACGACACTATGGAGGATTCTTCGACACTACGGCGTGCCTGAGAAGATAGTCAACATCATACGGAACTCCTATGATGGACTAAACTGCCAAATCGTCCACGGAGGACAACTCACCGACTCGTTCGAGGTAAAGACCGGTGTTAGACAAGGTTGCTTACTCTCACCCTTTCTCTTTCTCCTGGTGATCGACTGGATTATGAAGACGTCAACATCTGGAGGAATGCACGGGATACAGTGGACAGGCAGGATGCAGCTTGATGATTTAGACTTCGCGGATGATCTGGCTCTTCTATCACAAACGCAACAACAAATGCAGGAGAAAACGACCAGTGTAGCAGCAGCCTCAGCAGCAGTAGGTCTCAATATAAACAAAGAGAAAAGCAAGACTCTCCGATACAATACAATATGCACCAATCAAATTACACTTGACGGAGAAGCTTTGGATGATGTGGAAACCTTTACATATCTGGGCAGCATCATTGATGAACACGGTGGATCAGATGCAGATGTGAGGGCGCGGATCGGCAAAGCAAGAGCAGCATACCTACAGTTGAAAAACATCTGGAGCTCAAAACAATTGTCAACCAACACCAAGGTTAGAATTTTCAATACAAATGTTAAGACAGTTCTTCTGTATGGGGCAGAGACGTGGAGAACTACGAAAGCCATTATCCAGAAGATACAAGTGTTTATTAACAGCTGTCTACGCAAGATACTTAGGATCAGATGGCCAGACACTATCAGCAACAAGTTACTGTGGGAGACAACAAACCAGATTCCATCGAGTGGAGGAAGAAATCAGGAAGAAGCGCTGGAAGTGGATTGGGCACACCTTGAGGAAATCACCCAATTGTGTCACAAGACAAGCCCTCACATGGAATCCTGAAGGTCGAAGGAGAAGAGGAAGACCAAAGAACACATTACACCGAGAAATAGAGACAGACATGAGAATAATGAACAAGAACTGGAAAGAACTAGAAAAGAAGGCCCAGGACAGAGTGAGTGGGTTGGAGAATGATGGTCGGCGGCCTATGCTCCATTGGGAGTAACAGGCGAAAGTAAGTAACTAAGTAATTTAATACACTGGGAAAATTTTAATAGACTGAAGGGCACTGAAGAGAAGTTAGATGTCAGTCAGATACTCATAAGCCCTCCCGATTGTAACCTTTGCATAGTGATTGAACCAAAAACTTTCAGATGATTGGGTGGGCACAGTAATTTTGGCTCACAGATTTAGGATTCAATGATCTATGATTGCAATTGCGATCAAATCACCTACTAAGTGAAAGTCTAATGTCTGGTTTTTGGTGAGGCGATAAAAAATCAAGATCAAACTAACTTTTAGTGATCATCAATTCTCAAAGATTTTCTGGCTCGATTGTTAACTTAATTTTAACTACCTGTAAATCAAAAAATCATTACTTCGTTCACACTCCTAAATGACAAAAAACTCGGGAAATATTTTTTGACTACAGTTGTGCTACTAATAAGTAGTTGAATTAGAAAAGCAAGGAATGAAGCGCACGATAGGAGAATTGCAAAATACGTCGGAATATAAGTGTACAAGATACTGAATATAGTAACATTTGTGTTATATCGTGATCATAATAATGGTTAGTAACTGCTGGGATTTATTTGTGGACGAATGCTATACATATATCCTGATTGTATAACTATTCAGTGACTAGATTACGTATATTTATATTTCTTTTATTATAAGCTTTATTTTGATATATAGACTATTGATCAGAGGGGGTTTTGTGGAGAATTAAGTATTTTCATAGTTGAAATCATGAGTCAGTTGAAGCTAGACCACCATCGAAAACCTGGAAGCACTGGACATTATCACCGTTGGATGTCGGCCGGCTCAGTGGTCTATCTGTTAAGGGCTCTGGCACGAGACTGGTAGGTCCTGGGTTCGAATCTCGTGAGTGCGGGATCGTGGATGCGCACTGCTGAGGAGTTCCATAATAAGACGAAACGGCCGTCCAGTGCTTCCAGGTGTTCCATGGTGGTCTAGCTTCAACTGACTCATGGTTTCAACTATGAAAATATAGACTATTATCATACGACTTATTATTCTTAAATTATACTCAGTCTATTGATTACAGTCTTCCACGTTCACAGTCACTTTTTGGCTTGATCTTGCATAAATGTTATTTCCTACTTTATGGTGTGATGTGGTCTGTTTCACTTGTATATAAACCGGGTATGCTTGAAATAAATGATTCACACGGTTGGAGCTGGTATTGGTGTTCTAGAATCGAATGGCAGGACTAGGCAGCGAAAGGACGAGTATCAAAGCTGGACTGCTTGGTTTGACACAGTACTAAGACTGTATAAGTCGTATTCTGGTTGGCGAATAGGTCAAGTGATATTTAATCGGGCTAGAAGTCACAACAATTCGATGATCTCATTAGAGAACAATCGTGAATACATGATAAGAATATATCTATTCACAATAATAAATAATGAATTGACTAAACATGAAATAATCATTAATAATTTGTATTATACAAATAATTTGTTTGTTCTATTGCATAAATCATAATAACAACAGTCATATTTGTTAACAAGTCCTGGAGTAAGCTCGCTGATAGCATGTTTAGATGGACATTGAAGTGAACAACCTCGACCTTCCATTTGATAACCTTGAAAAGTTGAATAAGCTGTCTGTAAATAAGAAATTAAAGAAAAAAAACATTGTTTAAAGTATCCAGTAATCGTATCTGAATCGTACACACATATCTCCTTAAGTTAATTTGAAGAGAGAAAGAAGAGAACGTGAATGGTATAATGTGAATCTATTTTATTTCGTTAGTTTCTCTTCAACTGCTTACTACCTATAATATTTTGAAATGGAGATTACAAAATGGGTGGTTATGATTACTTATATACATGAATTTGGTTGGGTATTATTACGAACATTCATTATAATAGAACAGAAAGACTATAAATTAGTCTAAACCACTAAATAAAATAATTTAAATGTATTTCAAGCAAAGATAGATAGTGGTTAGTAGTGGAATCCAGGACGCGCGTTCCGTACTGGATTCCACTGCTAGTCACTATCCATCATTGCTTATGAAACTTGTGATTTCAGGCAATATCGAGGCAGTCCGCATAGGATGCACATATGCCAACAAGAGATTGATCAATTGCAGTCCAATATAACAATGGGAAGATACAAGTATAACAACAAGTGATTAAATGTATTTCGTTTGTAGAGTAACATTCTGGTATACTACTGATATTGGTAAATATCAAAGGAACAAATACTAATCATAAATAAGAATAAGATAAACCGAGAATACAGCATTTAGTAAAAAAGTTAATAGGTATTACTTAGATGTTAGACGTCACTTTCATACATTGAACTTAATTAAAAGAATCAACAAATAGTTTAGTTCTAGTTATCTGAATATTTCTGTAACTGTTATTAATAGGCAACAAACTTACTTACTTAAGCCTGTTCCCCCTCGTCGAGGATCATAGACCACCCAACAGCATTCTCCATCCAACCCTGTTCCGGGCAAAGCCTTCCAGTGATATATCCTTTTCATATCTGCTTCTATTTCCTGGCGTAATGTGTTCTTCGGCTTCTCACTTTTCCGATTTCCTTCCGGATTCCAAGTTAGGGCTTGCCTCGTAATGCTCTTTGACGGTTTCCTTAATGTATGTGCGATCTACTACCTCCAGAATCTTTTCCTAATTTCCACTTCAATTGGAAGTCGGTTTGTCCTCTCCCAAATTAGGCTGTTGCTGATAGTATCTGGCCATTGAATGTTGAGTATTTTGCGTAGACAACTGTTTATAAATACTTGTACCTTCTTGACGATGGTTGTAGTAGTTCTCCATATTTTAGCTCCGTACAGTAGAACTGACTGTCTTGACGTTCACATTGAAGATTCTTACTTTGTTGTTGGTTGACAGTTGTTTTGAGTTCCATATGTTCTTCAATTGTAGGAATGCAGTCCTTGCTTTGCCGATCCTCGCCTTTATATCTGCACCAAATCCTCCATGTTCATCAACGATGCTTCTCAGGTACGTGAATGTTTCCACCTCTTCCAGAGTTTCGTCATCAAGTGTGTTTGGCTTGGCATTCTGTGTGTTGTATTTGAGAATCTTGCTTTTTCCTTTGTGTACATTGAGGCTTATTGATGCAGAGACTACTGCTACACTAGTTGTCTTCGTCTATATTTGTTCATGTTGTATGAGATAGAATAGCCAACAGAAGTTAGACTTGAATGATCCAAGGAATACTATTGTCAATATTTCACTACAGAATAAATTCTATTATGGTACACCATAAAACATTCTTTGAATCTCTTATTTGATTACTTCATTATTTTTCAAACTCATCTACTTCATTAGTTTGATTAGTAACTAACTGTGCTCAATTCATGATACTTTATTCTTACGTTAATGTTTGTCTATTACGTAATAAGAAATTTCTACTCTTTTGATCTTTACAGTTATCAGTGAATTAGAATGTCATTCTACTTTTGAAATGTACTTGTGATGTTATTATTTAACTTCTTAAATTTATTTGCATTTATTATTCTGTATTGAAGTATGATAAGTCTTGTTAATTGAACACTATATTCGGATCCTAAGCTAGTCTCGTAACCCCGAAGCTAAATCTACACAGCGTCTTGAACAAAAGAGGAAAGGCCCAAAATATGCGAGAAGCACTTTACTCCAACTTACTTACTTACTTACGCCTGTTACTCCCAATGGAGCATAGGCCGCCGACCAGATTTATACAACCCACTCACTCTGTCCTGGGCCTCCTTTTCTAGTTCTATCCAGTTCTTGTTCATTATTCTCATGTCTGTCTCTATTTCTCGGTGTAATGTGTTCTTTGATCTTCCTCTTCTCATTTGACCTTCAGGATTCCATGTGAGGGCTTGTCTTGTGACACAATTAGGTGATTTCCTCAAGGTGTGCCCAATCCACTTCCAGCGTTTCTTCCTGATTTCTTCCTCCACTCGATGGAATCTGGTTTGTTGTCTCCCACAGTAACTTGTTGCTGATAGTGTCTGGCCATCGGATCCTAAGTATCTTGCGTAGACAGCTGTTAATAAACACTTGAATCTTCCGGATAATGGCTTTCGTAGTTCTCCACGTCTCCGCCCCATACAGTAGAACTGTCTTAACATTTGTATTGAAAATTCTAACCTTGGTGTTGGTTGACAATTGTTTTGAGCTCCAGATGTTTTTCAATTGTAGGTATGCTGCTCTTGATTTGCCGATCCGCGCCCCCACATCTGCATCTGATCCACCGTGTTCATCAATGATGCTGCCCAGATATGTAAAGGTTTCCACATCATCCAAAGCTTCTCCGTCAAGTGTAATTGGATTGGTGCATATTGTATTGTATCGGAGAGTCTTGCTTTTCCCTTTGTTTATATTGAGACCTACTGCTGCTGAGGCTACTGCTACACTGGTCGTTTTCTCCTGCATTTGTTGTTGCATTTGTGATAGAAGAGCCAGATCATCCGCGAAGTCTAAATCATCAAGCTGCATCCTGCCTGTCCACTGTATCCCGTGCATTCCTCCAGATGTTGACGTCTTCGTAATCGAGTCGATCACCAGGAGAAAGAGAAAGGGTGAGAGTAAGCAACCTTGTCTAACACCGGTCTTTACCTCGAACGAGTCGGTGAGTTGTCCTCTGTGGACGATTTGGCAGTTTAGTCCATCATAGGAGTTCCGTATGATATTGACTATCTTCTCAGGCACGCCGTAGTGTCGAAGAAGCCTCCATAGTGTCGTCCTGTCCACACTATCAAATGCCTTCTCGTAGTCGATGAAGTTGATGTAGAGTGATGAATTCCATTCGATTGATTGTTCCACAATGATACGTAGAGTTGCGATTTGATCTGTGCACGATCTATCCATACGAAATCCAGGTTGTTGATCTCGAAATTGGGCGTCCAACTTTACTCCAAAGGTTCATTTATTTACAGAAAATATAGGGTTTTTTTTAAATAGTAATTTAAGAAGTCCTTGGTTTTTTCTAAAAATTCTAGAATACTACTAAACATAGTAGCAGTGTTATAGTAATCAGCCAATCAGAACCTCTATATGTGACTTTTCACTTTTTTGATATTTCTACCAAAACTTCTAGTCAAAACGTTAATTGAATGCAATGCTTCTTAATGTTTCTTAAGCCTTTCTTATCCTTTGTTAGAAAAATTTCTGGATCACCCCCAAACAAAGTGTTTTTCACAATATCTTACAATCAAATATATTTAGGTAATTATTTTCAACCTAATTGGTAGTTTTAATTTACAGAAACATCAAAGGTTTTAATTAGCTGATGAGAATCGAATGAAATAAGATGAAGTCATGTTCAAATACTTTGCTCTTCTTCTCTTGAAACATATTTGAAATAAGTTATAAAGTTGATAAAGCCATGTTAGATGTGTGATAATTATCGCTAATAATTATGTATGTCAGTCGTACTGTAGTGATCAAGAAGACTGATGGAGACAATCGAATGTATATATAAGCACAAATTACAAACTATCTCACTAAAATGTGATAGCCTTACTGTAAACAGTTAATTTGCAAAGTAACGATCAATTGTCTCAAACTTCACTGTTCCTTCTGTAAATATCTGTCCATCTTCTCTAATTTCATTGTTTATGCATTTCAAACCGATCGCGCTTCATTCTTGTTCTTTCCTTATCGATATTCTGCCAAAATACATTCTATGTCTGACCATCACCATATACTACTTATGAGGATATAAGTAGCCCAAACTACAATACGATATAATAGATTGAGTGAAGTTAGATATGTAAAGCACTACGTGTCAATCGTTTGATCTAAGGTCTTCATTAGGAATAATGACCTTGAGTGTGATCATTCATCCTGCCATTAATGTGAACTTCAGAGAAATTCAACACACAGACGAGACAACGATTTATTCTTTCCTACTTATACATGGTTGTCGAATTGAAATCAACCTGTGATGCAAGTTTAAGTAATAAATAAGTATTCTTTATTCAAGTACATCTATAGATTTTATGAAGATCTATTTTCTTCATATAAAATTTTGTTATATCTAGAGCTTTGATTCTTGCTATGCCCCAAAACAGTGTCAAATATAGTTCAAAATCCTCATGTATTTATAGTTTTTTGGGTGAAGGTAAATCATCATTTCGGATAGCCAATAGGCACATAAGGGGTCATTCTTATTCATCCAATAGGGAAGCTACACGTCGATATTCTAGAATGTTTCCCTAGCGGTGATTAGATGGATTGTATTCTGCTCTTCATGGGCTTCTTGAGGCTTCCTTGAATTTGCCAACGAGCCATCCTTACAAGTTTCTTTTCAGGTATCTCACAGAATACAACTTCATTTTATAATTTAATACACAGAAAATAAATAGGTCTTTTGCTACTATTTACATTGACATTTTATACATATTCGAATTTATTTTGTTCAGTTTTACTTGACTGATTTGAAGGTATTATGATCATCAAGATGGAAAAGTATAAACGTTTGGTAGTTTCATATTACTTTCTGATATTTTACACTCTTGAACCTACTAAAGATCTAATCTAGTACTTTCAAATCTTGTGATAAACAATGATCCTATTAACAGTAAATGAGTTAAATGGAATCATATTGCTAATGTTATCCAGTTGTTTAAGATTAAGAC